CTGGGAAATTTACTGCTGTAATTAGCACATCAACACCCATGGAAATAGAGGGGTCCTGTGAGTTAAAACAAGCAGGGAATAGACACTGGGAAGCAATTATCTCTTACAATGTGAAAGCCTTTTCTAGTTCTATACTGTCTAATATGGTTGCCATTAGCCTTTTATGGTTATGTAAATTTAAATTTAAAGTAATTAGAATTAAATAAAACAAAAATTCAGTTCTTCAGTCATACTAGCCACATTTTAGGAGCTAGTGGCTACTGTAATGGGACAGCATACACATTAAGGGTCTTCCAAAAGTTCATGGAAAGCTTCATGTTATCTTTTAGTTCTATTTTTCCACAAACTTTTTGAAGTGCCCTCATATAAATATTTCTATCATTGCAGAAAGATTTATTGGGCACTGCTGGTCTAGACTTGCAGTTACTACACACATAGATTTTTTAAAATTATTTTTACAATTGGTAAATGTGCAAATTAGGTAGAGAAGGCTAGTAGAGCATTTTAACAGCAGCCAGGGAGATGGGGGGGAAGAGTAGGGATGTAAAAGAGGAAGAAGAGAGTTTTCATAGCAGCTGATGAACAGTGTCAAATGTTTCAGACTAAGTTTCGTAAGATCAGGGAGAAAATGGATTCAGCCTTCTGATCCCTTGAGAGCAGCCGTGTGGACTAAAGCCGTGGAGTAGCACCAGTTCCAGTGGGCTGAGGAGGCACCCGGGAGGTGAGAAAATGGAACTCACATCCACTGTAGATTAAAGGACAGAGCCAAGTGACAACTTCAGGGAGAATCAGGGGGTGTGATGGCTGTGCTTGTGCTTGCGTTTGCATGTTTACTTCTGGCTTTTTTTCCCCCTGGAATGAATAGATCTGGGTGTGGCTGGATTATAAGGTCAGGGGTCCCCAAAGAGGAAAAGGTTTATGATAAAAGAGGGGACTATGGGTGGGGCCAGGTTTTGAGAAGAGCCATGTGAACTCCTAACAGGGAAAGGTCATCCTCTTACCTTGTGTGTGGTCAAGAGAGGTGTGCCTTCCTTTCACGTGGCGGGGAGGAGGGATGGAAGAACAAACCAGACAGCAGGAGTAGGCTAGGGAGTCGAGGGGCACTTTTCTCATAGACTAGATATTCTTGGTAAATTTGAAGGAGCAACTAGGTGCTGGGTATTAAAGTCAAAGATATGGGTCGAGAATAAGGAAAATGAGGAAGAGCTGGGAAAGTTCTATGGGCGTGGAAGAGACCAGAGTTTCAGGCAGAGATTGACAAGAAAATGATGTGGAATCCACCAATCACTCTCTTCT